GGCTAAATGTGGCCATGTAGCTTGGGTAGGTTTGCTGAGGTGAAAGGATGGAACCGTGAATTAGCTGTTGACTTGTAGGCTGATTTAAATATGGAATGGGGATAATCCTGGGAGGCTTTTCTGACTGAAGAATCAAAATACAGGAATTTTATTCAAAGAAATTGGGGGGGAGGGTACTCAAATTAACCATGTCTCTTACCAAACTAGACTTCACATGTTCCCCCTCATGTCTCCTTCAGTTGGATTAAAAGGAAGGGCTATTTCCTAGATCACTGGGGTTATAAACAAAATGTTAAAGTGCCATTAAGTGGAGACGCGTTCTCAGACTATAATTACACTGGCTTTGAAAGTTTTATAAAGCAACAAAGTTTTTAAAACTAGCAATTACAACTGCAACAATTTCTTTATGTAATGGTACAGTTTATTTCATTTTTAATAACAATTAGAGGACAAAATGTTTAAAATTTGCAATTTAAAACATGCACATTCACAAAAGGCCAATGACACATAACACTGCATAGAACTGAATATTACTCAACTTTAATAACTATTTATGAAACACAGTGCATTGAACATCGAGATAAACAAACCTGAGAAAACTATGATCACAGATTCAATACTCTCCACTCATGCAGCTTCACAATTTCTACAGCAGTTTCAGCAGGAATGGTTTTTCATGGAGCTGAAAATACTATTTTATCTTAAATGCAAACTGCAATTTTCCATAGTAGCTGCCTCCCAAGGCTGCCTTTTTTTTTAACTTAATAAACTTGAAAATGTGAAAAATGAAGCTTGAAATAGCTAAACAAACAGCAAACAGTATTTACTGCATTTATGGCTTCTATTCTAGAACCATGAAACATAAAAATATTTATTATTTTTTAATATTCTGCTCTCGGTTTTTGCAAGAGCAGATTTACCTATGGAAAGTTGCTGTTAATTCAAAGTAAGCATGTATAAAATCTAGCTTTTTTCCCCTCCTTACGGGAGATTTATTTGCTGAGAAGTTTTGTGAGCTTTATTAAGAAAAGTTCTTAGAAGCAAGCTAAACAAAAGTTGCAATTAATTTTTTGCAAATTTGTTTGTAAAATAATTTACTTATTAAAAAAAAGTTGCGCAGAGAACCAATTAATTTGTCCACTGAATATTGAATTCCAGGTAGGCCATGACAGAATTTTATAAGGCAGAAATAAACATCAAGATTTACAGCAGTAGCCATGCATTGGCCTGGACCACTTTAAATATTAATTCATGCAAACCATAAACCTATCAAAAACACAGCTGCTTTCATACAGAAAATAAATCAAGACGAGAAATGGAAAACATTTATTTCCTTTCCTTCAAAGTTTAACTTACATTCCATTTTAATAGCCACTGAAGGTTAATTAAAATGCAGCAAAGTATAACTAAGTCTCACAAGTGACTTCAGTTATTTTAACGTGAGAAAAATCAGATTATGATCTCTTAAAGAAGCATTATAGAAATGTTCATCATTAAAAAGCATTTATTAGGCACCGAACTGCATGGTATTACATTAATTTACAAAAAGAATTCCACAGATCTGGTCCACATGATGTGAATGGGGTGGGTGTTTTCCCGATAAATTTTATAAATGGTTATTTATAAGGTTATAGACTTATTTGATGAAATAAGTTTTAGAACCGGGAACTCTCCTAGGGCAACTGTGCAAAAATAAACACTGATGATCACGTAGCATGGTAACAGTTAGGACATTGTTATAAATAATTTAAAAACTACAAATATACAATCTTTTACTTTCAGACTTGCACTCAGTTCCTGAAAGACTATTTTCAATGACAAGTTACAAGTGATGTACAGTGCACACAATGCAGAACAAATTATCATGTGATGTTCATATCTGATACGAGAATGCTGAACTGCAGAATTATAAAACAAAACTTCATGATCAGAATAGGTGTTGATTTCTGGAACTCACTTTTCCCCCCTGAAAATTAAGAGGAATGAGTGACTCCATCCAATGACCATATAATTCATGTAAATAAATAATATTATTGAATAGAATACACGTTCACCTGACTTGATGAGAAAAAGGTTTCCCATGAAATCTGCAACATTGCTGAAACTGGCTCACGTGAGATATCCAGTGGGGTGTGGGAGGGTGGGCAGCAAATGTATCATTTTAAATTTGCTACATTCCTGAGAAACATCATTCTCCTGCTAACAATTTCTGCCAGATAGCATCTTTCTGGGTGTGAGACACAGATCTATTTTTATATGTATATATAAAACATTTAGAAAGTTCATGCTCAATATCACCGTGTACTACCCAACACTAAAGAAGCAACTCCCAGCTTTTCAATGTTAAAGGAATGAGGATTTTCTGCTGTAAGTATTTTCTGAATTGTAAACATTGTAAAGCAACGGTGTTAGCATTTGCCAAAGTCCCTACAAGGGACTTTTTAATTGAAGAGTATGTGTCCTTTATTTCAGAAAATACAAGTTGAAAGTCATTTCAGCTGTTTGTTTTAATCCTGGTAAAACTGTGTTACTTTTCCCCTCTTTGGAAGGTTAAAAAATCAGAGGGTTTTCTCTAACACTATAAAATCAGTGCCACCGTAATGCTGTGTTTTAAGTTTTACCAAGGCGACCACTCCCTGCTGCACAACCCCCTCTCTCACCCAAGAAGCAAAGGAATTGACTTAATAATTCACAAATAGGACTAGAAATTAGCCATATTTCAGACCACGATCTCGTACGTTAATTAACCATGGGTATTCTCTTCTACTCATGTTAAGAGCTCCATAGAAATAATCCATGTTTTAAGATAAAAATAAAACTTTTCATTTTTTGAAGCCAGAAAATTCAGTTCCATTAGATTCATCACATTTTGCTATTAACATTTTGGAGAAGGACGCCGCTGACGAGGAGGAGGAGTTCTGATCTGTACCTGCGAGGAAGTGCTTCTCTGGAACGGGGTACTTCATTCTTGTTTTTGGATTTGTGTGGCTTGACCTTGACTATCACCACTGCGAGGCCTGGGAAAGCTGCTCCATTCAGCGGACAAAAGTCCGTGACTGCAGAATTTTGAAGGTGATCTCAGACTCTTCTTACACGTGTGGACTTTCTAGATGTTTCGATTCACAATTTTCTTAATCTGAACCCCAAAGGGGAATGCTCTAGGAAGTGAACTATGTCAACCCCTTGCTCCCCTTAGAATTATGTATGTGTTATAACCTCTCTTATTTACAGAAAATGGTGGGGGGGGCATACTTGTAACTAAATAGCTAAAAATACAGAGAAGGAAATGACGTATAACCTAATTTTAAATCTAGATTAAGAAAAAGGGTTAAAAGAATGAGACATTATTAAACTCAAATCACCTCTCTTTGCAATTCTAGTTGACTTTTTTTTTTTTTCCAAGAGGAAGTTCTACCCATTTTGCTGGTAAGTCCACTTAAAGGCAAACAGGATTCTGAATAAAAGGCAGAAAGTTTGCTTCAATCTCTGAAGTGTATCTGAAAACTAGAATTCCTTTTTATTTTCATTTTTAAATGAAAGCATTCTTTTAAAAATAGTATAGAAAACTGGTTGTGGTTTTTAAACAGCCCCTTCACCATTTATCGTTGGTAGCAAAATAGGCGTTTTTAGGACATGTCTCAGAAATGCTGAAAGTAATTAAATTAAACTGAACATACATTTAAAACCATAGCAACAAAATCTACTCATGATGAAGACTGTCTCTGACTGTAAAGCAACAGGCTTGAGTAAAACAGGTGTTTTTAAAATGGGGAAAATGTACCACTGATTTGTCCCAATTAGCAGCATGTGACTAATTTGGGGGAGCTATTTGAAAAGTGAACTGTGAAGTAATTCTCAGTGTTAAATACAGGGGTGGTCACCATAACACGGGGTGTGCTATATAAGACAGCAGGCATCTCTAGCAGGAACTATAGAAAGAACCAAAACACAGGACAAAAGCCGAGCCTATGTACATTACAAAAGCCCATGCATTTATCCGACATGGTATTCCAAACACCTCGACAGAAGCACTGGGACTCTCACATAAATATGTAAGCAAATTTTTCTTGAGAGAGAAAACTTTAAGACAAAATGACATCACTCAATCTTCAGCGGAAGCCAGGGTTTTAGAAAAATCTAGAGACGCCTCATCAGAAATGACTGAGACATATATACAGATTAAAAATCAGTATCATAATGACAGAGTCACATTACCACGTGTGCCCTCCAACTTCAACAAGTAAACAAGACAAACAAGAAAGAAGCATTTGTAAGGCCAAAGGTGCAACATCACAGATTTGAGTAGCAAATGCCTTGAAACACTCATTTTTGCAAATCACTCTTACATTTGAAAAGTCAAGCATGCAGATCCTACAGCAGAACTGGAGGTAAACGTTCTTTTAAATTTCTGGGCAAATGACTACTGAATGAGAAATACACTTATTGAACTTCTTTGGCAAACATTTATCAAGACAATTTTTGACACGAACACTTATTAATGTCTTGTTTAGAAATTTTGCTCAGTAAGGTGAGTCAGTTCCTTAGAGAAGAGTGCTGGTTTTTTTTTCAGCATATTCTGAAATCTAAGTCTGGATATCAAGAGTCCCTTTAAATTATTACCATTTTAGAGTTTTTAAATGGTTGGTTGCCTTGTGGTATATCCAATCAACTGATAGTCAGTTACAGCCCCAGAGTAACGGCCTAAGACTCCTGACCTATTCTCAGTTTTAAGAAAGCATTCTGGCAAGATACAAGGTCATTTTCAATTTCTGCTTACAAAGACTCAGCAAATACTTTAAAAAATCTGAAAGAGATGGTGTTACAGTATAGTGGCACAGTGCTTATGTCTATAATATACATGAATCTGAAGGTCAATCAACGAGATGAGCTCAGATCCACTTTCCCCTCCTTGGACCAGACTGGAATTGGTCAGCAGATTCCGGGAAGACCTGGGAGCTCTCCTTAGAGACCTGGTGGGGCCAGCCTCGAAGCCCCGCCCATCACCATTCATCGGGTCTCTGCTTTGTGGTGTCATATGCTCTAATCACTTCAGATTGTGAGACGATCCCGTTCTCATCTTGTGAGAAAGCATACCCATCTGTAAGTTAGAGAGAAAACAGAAATGATCACCGTGAGGTCACTAGGAATCTCTATTCTGAGTTTTAAGTACTTACTTTCCGATCGCAGGGATCTCATATAGCCCTCCTGCCCTCAAAAGTGTGCACGAAGACATGAATTTTTAACATCCGGAGAAAGATGCAGACTCAGCTATAACAGGAAGAGTGGGCTGACTGCAGCTTGTCAGCTGAGATTCTATGAACTCTGCCCCACGGATGCTTTCAACCCCCCTCGGTCTTCCTCATGGCATCTCAAATCCAAGCCAAGCCTTCCAACTTTTGCTTCCTGGCTACTGGAGGGTGTGGGAGTCTAGTCAAGTGGGCACATGCATTTCCATACACATCAGGTGGATGAGCCAGAAGGAAGAACAAAAGTGAGGAGGATTCACAATTAAACACACGTAACTGCCAAAGGTGGAAAAGGGGACTCCTTCCTTGGGACAACATCATCCTTGGCTCTTGGCGTCTACAAATAAACTCATTTGTGCCCCAACATGGCTGGGGATAAGCAACGGCCCCCAAGGGGGTCACATCTTTAGAAAAGGCCTCTTGAAGTATAGAAAGCAAAAGCATTGAACATGAGTACACGTAAATGAAAATAAATTACATGTGGAAACAACATGAAACAAAAGATATATGACTAACACAAATACATTTACTACAGGGCTTTATATATTATATTCTCTTTTAGATCCTTGAAATATTAAGAGGGCATGATACCTAATAATTTCTTACAACTCTAAATATTCATAAACATTTTTGAAGGGGGAAATATATGTTTCTGTGCCATATGAAAGCTGAAAAAGCCCTTGCAAAGTTGTTCAAGTAGAAAAGATAACAGTACGGAGGGAGCTTTTAAGACTTAAGATTTATTTTACTGGTTCGTCTTAAGATTTAAAGAAGCAAGGGGCATGTGGAGATATTATTTCTTCAAGTGAAAGCAGCAGGATTTTAACATGCTTTGTCTTGTCTGCTGGAAATGAGACGGTTGTGGTCAGAGGTTTCTCTCACTGGTCATTTATGTAACGTGTTGCAAGTACGCAAAACTTTTTTTCGGTGTTAATGTTAAAAAGTTGAATATTCCTAAAGCCCAAACCCTGCTGTCCTAAACGCTCTGACGTGACGGCAGAGAATTTATTTGCAAGTCAGAACTCAGATACTCACGGAGCAGGTTTTGTTGCAGCGATTCAGATCGGTACAAGTTCACGTGGTTCTTCTTAAAGACGTTCTTGAGCAGTTGCGCCCTCTCCGTGAGGCTGTGGGGCAGGTGCAAATGTGTGAAATGAATTATCAACTCGGCAGAGACCCCAGTGTGCCCACAGGACCACCAGAGAATCAGACTTAAACAAAAGATTGCTTGAGAGGTCTGTAGTCTAGGGATTCTTTTTGCCCCGTTTTCTCAGATAGCAAATGAGATTTCAAGTATTTAGATACTTCCAAGGCCAGCTTTCCCCAGAGCTAAGGAGAGTTTTGTTCCCAATAATCCAGCCCAAAGAGTTCTCCACCCCCTAGTTATATTTAAGTCAAATGGGAATACAGAACCTGTACAACACAGTTAATAAAAAAATACAAAATCTGCCAGCAGCGCCATTAACTTCTAAAATCCTGGTTGACTTACTACGTACGTACTGAGCGTGGCATTTTTAGAGTCACAAAAATTATTACTCTTTTTCCTACTTTGCACATATTTTGGTACAAAATAATATTTTTTTAGTGATGCAAAGAAATCCTAAAAATTACACGAAGAAGAGATTCCATAGACATTTTAATTAGAAAAGTTCCATTACCTGCTCCAATGTGGTATGAAATGTGTTCCTTAATTTCATTTTAAAATAAAACTATTTTCAGAAAATAATATGAGGTAAAACGACAAGGAAAATATTTATTTCTCAATGAACATTTAGAATAATCTCCACAGAAACAAATCCACGTAATTAATTATGTAACGCCTAGGAGCAACACTGCAAGAAATAATGCATCTGTTTTTTTGCACTGCATGTAGAATGGTGTCTCCCACAGCAGGAAGCCAATTATTTGTCAAATCAATGAGTTCGAGTAATCATTGTGAAATACACTTTAAACATCACACCAGGCCTCCCAATCATGCCATTTCTCCAGTGGTTGATGTATAAAACTTTGCTTTGATATCAAAGAACATAAGAATCCTAATAAGTAATCCACATGTGCTACAGCAAATGTTTACGCAATTTTGTTTTAATCACTGGAATGCGCTCAGTTGAAAAATTTCCATTTTGGGTTTTTCCCCCACTATAAAAGTTTTAGTTAAATTGTTCTGTCAGCTTTGTGTTTTGCCAAATTTTCTGAAATCCTGAAGTGGAACAATTGTTATCATATACAAAGAATAAAAATAAAAGAATCCTCCGCAGAATGAACTCGTAATTATGCAAACGTTTAGGCTTTCGCTGAAGTAAAATATTTAGCAATGTTGACATTTGTAGTTATCTTCACATATTTTTCAAGTCGAGGGATGCTGTAAATGGTACTTATTAGACATACTTCATTGTCACTGAGAATTAGCTACATTAAGGCAAGAAAGCTAATTAATCTAAAACTCTGGTGGATTTGCAAATAGTTGTAAGACTTGTTTTTGCCAGTGAAATAAACAGATATGGGGAATGAGAAGGGGCCATTTTTAGAGTCGCTTTTCTACTCTGTTCTTAAAATGATCTAACATTACAGACCCAGAGACCCTGAGGAACACTAAAACATGTAACTGCTTTGAGGAAGTCGGCAGCCTTAGCGGCAGGTGGTCTGATTTTGTTAGCAGAGCATAGCGGACGGGGTGCTGGGAAGTCTCTGGTGTTTAAGATGGAAATGGCTACAGACAACTAGAGGTTGGCAATGTATCAGGATGTAGCTTCTTCTCCCCCAAATACATTTTCCAGGTTTCAGGCTGGCCTTCCTAAATGCATAATACTTTAATATTATAACATTAAATGTTAAGAAGGCAGATGTGGGAATTTTATCTGTCCTATTACGAAACTTAGATGTAGAAGATAATGTACTTTGTAATAATCATTCATATGAGGCTATCCTTTTACTCAGCTGTTGCATCAAGTTAATGCCTAGTGTTCAAAAACAAAGCGCAGTAAGAAAGCTTTCTCAGGAAAGGAGTGCATTACTGGGGGCAGAGCATGGGCTTTGGAATCTTAACTTTAATTCTGAGTCTGTTACTTATTAGCTGAGGAGCCTCAGGCAAACCTTTCTTGGTCCTCTCATACACACCAGGAGGATAATCCCTAACCAATGGTGGGGATTCAGGGAATTGTATGGTTTCTAGCACAGTGACTGGCACTTAGGAAGCACTCCACAAATGCTAGCCCTTCCCAACCTTGCCATTCTCCCAGCTCCCAAGGAATTTATTAAAAAAATTTGTTTAATGTTTATTTATTCTTGAGAGAGAGAGACAGAGCGTGAGCAGGGGAGGGGCAGAGAGAGAGGGAGACACAGAATCTGAAGCAGGCTCCAGGCTCTGAGCTGTCAGCACAGAGTCTGATGCGGGGCTGGAACCCGTGAACTGCAAGATCATGACCTGAGCTGAAATCGGACGCTTAACTGACTGAGCC